AATTGCACTGCACTTCTGTCAGGGTATAATAAAGTAAAAGCCTCTGGGAAGCTGATGAGCTCTTTGTTAAACTTGATCATGTTTTTGGCCCCCTTTTTAAAGAGCTCCTCCATTCCTATCAAAGGATACTTTCAAGGGAAGAGTTGATCCCCTGACACTTTTCAGCACACCATCACGTTAAAAGACCGATATCTGTATGGTGACCTCGGGGTTTTTTTCTCTATTTTCGTCACACGGCTTTCTTGGTGAATCTAGTACTCCTTTCCTTTTCTTTCCTATCTCTGAAAGCCTCAAATGAGAGACGAGCAAGCTTAGGCCTACTTGATGATGGACTTTCATTTGGACTTGGCCGTTTTCGTGTTTTAATATTAGAAGTTGAGTCCTCCATTGAAGATTCACCACAAGAATGGCAAAATTTTTCAAATTCTGAACCTTTTGTTGGGTGTCTTTAAAACGAAGACCCAAAACGAGAAAAAAATAGGGGTCTTCGTTTTTGGGTCTTCGTTTTATAGACACCCCTTTTTGTTCCACAGTTAGAGCAAAACATGGCTTGACACTATGATGTAGCCCTGCAGCACATCTGACCTGACCTCAGTCTGTTGTCAATTAATATGAAATGCGCGCGTGCAAAGGCTTTCCATTTTGTTTGCAGGGTTTCTTTTTTTTGTTTGCAGCGTTTCATTTTTTTGTTTGCAGCATTTGCTTTTTTGCTTGAAGCTTTTTCTTTTGTTTGCTGGTGTTTTTATTTTTTGCTTGCAGCGTTTCTTTATTTGTTTGCTAGTGTTTTTATTTTGTTTGCAGCGTTTCTTTATTTGTTTGCTAGTGTTTTTATTTTTTGTTTGCGTTTCTTTTTTGTTTGCAGCATTTCTTTTTTGTTTTCAGCGTTTCATTTTTTGTTTGCTGGTGTTTTCTATTTTTGTTTGCATCGTTTCCATTTTTGTTTGCATCATTTCTATTTTTGTTTGCATCATTTCTTTTTTGTTTGCATCATTTATCATTTCTTTTTTTGTTTGCAGCGTTTCTTTTCTGTTTCCATGATTTCTTTTTTGTTTGCAGCGTTTCTTTTTTGTTTGCAGCATTTCTTTTTCTTTGCAGTGTGTCCCTTGTGGGCCATCGTATGTTGTTGACAAGCTGTGATTAATATTCTGTAGCCCGAGGCCCTATAGCAAATAAAAAGGATAGCAGTTTTGCTAGATTTGGCGACATCAAGCGACTGAGTAAACTATTTTAATAGTAGAAGCCAGGCCTATAGGCACCGGGCCCCTAGACTACTGTGCATACTAATTCCCTGTAGGCCCATTCTATTATACTACTACTACAAATAAAGTTTACTCTCACTGATAATTACAATCGCCATGTTGCTTGGTTGGCTATTTCAATCAGCAATAATAACTAGTGCCTACTATTCTATAGGCTTAGGCTAGGCCCCTAGTAGTAGCACTACAATACTAGGCATAAGCCTAGCCTAGTAGTACGCCTATAATAAGCATCGGCCCCTAGGCCTAAGTAGACCATTCGACTCTCCATAAAATACGCAAGAATAACAGAAAGGACATTTAACCCAAACATTGTGATAAGCCCCAATCGAAGTACATGAAATGGGCCTATTATGACATAAATTTGATCGTAACTGTTCGCGCCACACGTTTCTCATGATCGCGACGTCGACTTTGCAAAAAAATTCCAAAATCGAGTCGGTCATTTCTATTGGCTAATCATGACGTAATATCATTTACCGTACCTTTAGCAATCGGAAGTTCCGATACGGTACCGTATCTCTAGCCACGGCGTAAAACGCAAGATATTACAGTACTGTTATAATAAATACGCTAATATAAATATCAATCACAGTAAATTACTATTTATTAGTCACCAATCTAGGCACGAAAATATCTGTTACCTCAAACCCACCAAACAACCAGAGCCTTGCAGGCGTCAACGTTCCTATGCATGATACATGACAGTATATAGGCCCTATATATATATATATACGTGTATAATATACGTACATATATATACATATACACATATACATACACATGTTGGGTCAAATTTGTGTGGAGGTTGAAAAATACAGGGGGAGTCTTTATGGCCCAAAATAGTGATTTTATTCATGTAATTCGACAGGCAAATTACAGTAATATTTTTAGCAAATTTCTTTGAAAAAATTTCGTAGGCATAGGGCCTAGGCCTAGCTAGGTATACAGCAATTTCATTTTACAGTAGTTTGGAACGATATCAGGAGTGGGGGTGGTGGCAGTGGCCTACTAGGACTACAATTTATTTGAAGCTATCTTGGGTCCGATCGTCCACACCAGTTGGGCCCAATCGTCTGTCACCTGAAGTTTTCTAGGCTAGGCTTAGATTGCTGCCGTCACTCTGCTACGTATACTACTACCACATAACAAAGAAAGCGACCCACGCGGTGCATGCTTAAATTGTACACACATTATTAAAATGTATTATTAGACGATAACACGATATCACTGACTGAATGATCTACCACCCTCGCATCGCAGTAACTACTGTACTGAACTAGGCCTATAGCTTGGCCTAATGTTTTTGTGGAAAGTTAGATAGTCGTTATGTACCCGACAGTCGGCTGCCTTTATATCTTCACTTGTCTTCAATTTGTATTCAAAGGGTACATTGCTGCATATCCAATTGTCGGGGATATGGTACCTTCATATGACTACTCCATAGGTATTTCTAGTAGGCTATCTTTGATAATAAGTATACTAGAGCGCTAACCGCAATGTATTCGATGTTCGAAATACGCACAACTGTGTGGGTACCATCCAAGATGGCTGCCATAGATTTAGCCTATCAAATTTCGCTAAGCACATAGAGCTATTAAACAACTAGAGTGCTGACAAGATGGCGCAGCAATGCAGAGTTATGTATGTGTACCATCCAAGATGGCCGTCGTAGTAAAGCGCCACCTTCAGGCTTAGTATACATATTATTACATATTAATAAGCCCTCTGACCGACTATTATTTCATTAATGATAATGAGTAATGGTAATAACAAATTATTAAACTATCGTAGCCAAAACGAGGCCAAGTGGAGCATCTTATTCAAAAATAAAGTACCAAGGAATGAAAATTAAAATCGTGTACATTACACCCAAACACCGCAGCGCTCGAGTTTCAAACATACGGGTAACTAGCTGTACTGAACTTTCTGAGTAAATTGAGGGCGCAATTGCAAACGATGGTGCTTATCGAAATTTGATTGGCTAAATCTATGGCAGCCATCTTGGATGGGACACACACAGTTCTGCGTATTTCGAACATCGAATACATTGCGGTTAGCGCTCTAGTATTCTTATTATTTATCTCTATGGCTAAGCACCATCGTGCTTAGCCATAGCGCGTCTCTAACCCCAACTTCGATCGATGAATTCTTCGTGTTCCTGTCGAGTTTTCCGAAAGAAACCAAGTGGATCGCAAACTTGACTTATTAGGTAATGTTGTTACCATATTAGGTAATTATGGGAGGTCTCTAAATATTTTTTATCTTTTTTTAGAACAAGCTTTATTGGCCAATCGGCGCGAAAACGTGTCACGCATTTGAACGACTGAGGGCGCTTGTCCGGAAGTAGGTGAAAATTAGCCGAATAACGGTCAAATCGCGAAGTGGCTTTAAAATTAGCCGAATAACGGTCAAATTGCGAAGTGGCTTTCCCACTGTTAAAAGGCAGCATGGGAGAACGTTGGGTTGGTCGAGTTGCTTTGGTGACAGGCGCGTCTTCCGGTATTGGTGCGGCTATTGCTCGTAAGTTGGCTGGGCACGGAATGAAAGTTGTGGGGTGCGTTCAAGATAATGTGTTTCACCAGCTACAGGTACAGTATTATGTTTCCGATACGCTATCCTGTGGGGCTTTCGATTCGCAACGTATTTATTTGCAAAATGTGATGGGTTTTGATTGTAATTAGGGACAATATATACTCTAACATAAAAAAAGTCATTCCCTGCGAATTACAATTTACAAACAAAAATCATGGGTTTTTTTCTGTAATTTTTGTTTTAAGTACCTTTTAAAGTCGGGCTCCGGAGGGAAAAAATAATTGGTATGTTGTACAACTGATTTTTCTAAGACAAAAAAAGTTGTTTGACGAAAAACTGGGAAACGTTGAATGAGATACAGATTTTTGAATATTTAAAAACTGGGAGATTCAAAGGGGCGTAACTGCCCAATTTTACACCTTTTTCCCCCAGTTTTTAAATATTCAAAAATCTGTATCTCATTTTATGATGCCAGGCTAGTGATCTGAAGATCGTGGGTTCGAGTCCCACCCGAAAACAACCTGCGATTTTTTCGCAATTGTTTTCAAACGTACTGAGTATACAGTACATTTCCCCGTCAGGGCAAAATTACACCTATACAATATGCTTGTTATTAAATATATTAGGAGCGGTTGCTTTACTCGTCAACCTTCAGGTCGGAGGTTCAATCCCTCGTGGTGTATTTCGCTGGTTTCCATAAGCAAGGTACTCATAAGTTACCTACGGTTGTTTCTCACCACCCAGGAGCAGGGATGTAGCCAGTGAAAATTAAGGGTGGGTATTAAAATTTTAAGGGTGGGTGCTGAATCTTGTGAGTATTTTTTCGCGTAGCGCCAACCGCATGAACAGTTATTAAATGGGGGGGGGGAAGGGGTGGTAATGATAATTATGACTTACTTTGTTTGGTTTAAATAAAGAGGTAAGAATACTGTGAGATGAGTGCAAATATTAAATTTTACTAAAATCACTGTTCTTTTATTGACTGAAAGTAAGTTGTAAGTTTTCTTTAATTTCTGTGTGTTAAGTTTATTTGTTACATTTTCATCTCGTATTTTTCATACGCAAATTTGATTCCTGAATAAGAAGGGTGATATATTATGCACCTGTCAAACCTAGGCCTAGCTTTTTTCAAGAAATCATCGCACCACACGCACTGGCTGCCGCTAGCCTAGTCTCAGAAAACAACTAGGCCTAGCCTCCTAGAGTATTCTTACAACAAACACATTCGAATCGAAGGTGCAGGAAAAAAAGACATAAA